ATTAAAAAAGAAACAGTACAAAATGTATTTATACTTCACCCCATTGAACAAAAATGTAACTATTAAGACTCCATAGCTAAGTGGATAACATGATGACGTTTAAGGCGAACTGTACTGTTTAAAACAAAAAAATGTAGTCAATAAACATTGGATACATTCATATCAATATATATAGACTGGTAAGTTTAAACTACTGAGAAAATGAATATTAGTAGTAGTAGTAGTAGTAGTGTGGTGTGTGCTACTTATATCGGCTTAAGTAGTATATGATGTTAGTCAGGAACAGAATGTTTGGCAACAGAGAGACAAGAGAATTGAACAGTAAAGATTCGAAACAGAATGCAATTTGTATGAAAATGCAAGAACAATGAAGTCTGAGTCATTTTAAGACAATTGATGGACATTTTACAAATGAAGCATTCACTTTATGATTGATTGTTAGATTTCATTAACAAGTCCTGTAAGCGTGTGTTAAATGCATTCGATTGCCTCCACTGATGTTCTTTTGTTCAGTACAGTAGTAGTAGTATTTGAAGGCCCCCCATCATCTTCAGAAGACTCAATCTATGAACAAAGAATGTTCTTTTCAATAAATTCTCTTTAAGTTCCACAATTCATATACCCAGATTAATAATCCGGAAGTGACCAGGTTAAAGGTAAAGTACATTTTATTACAAACTAGTTATAGTGCCAGTATAACTTAGAGATCATGTAGAACAATCCAAAAATCATTCAACGCCGGAGAACTACGATTACTGTTTTCTATGTACCCAATGGTGACATCGAGGCGAAAAGATGAATTACTTAGAATGACCACCTTATTTTATAGTTATCAGTTTAACTGCTCCTGTGGAGCAATTTATATTGGTCAAAGTTCTAGGAATTCCTGTTCGTGAACACCTCCTAGCATGGCTAAACAAAGGTTTGATGAAGAAAGTGAACAGCTCGATATTGACCTGTTTAGTGCAAACTAGTTATAGTGCCAGTACAAATCAATCCTTTTTCAATTATTTATTGGGTTAGTAATATGGGACTCAAAATAACTTTCAACCAATATCAAAGTGAGAATCTTCAATACGAACGTCAAAGCAGTTCTACTGTATGGAGCTGAAACATGGAGAACTACAACAACCATCATCAAGAAGGTGCAAGTTTTTATAAATAGCTGTCTACGCAAGATACTCAACATCCATTGGCCGGATACCATCAGCAATAGCCTTCTGTGATAGAGAACAAACCAACTTCCAGCTGAAGAAGAAATTAGGAAAAGACGATGGAAATGGATAGGACATACATTACGCAAATCGTCAAACTGCATCACGAGGCAAGCCCTAACTTGGAATCCTGAGGGGAAGCGAAAAAGAGGAAGGCCAAAGAACATATTACGTTGGATAATAAAAGCAGATATGAAAAGGATGAATTACAACTGGACGGAGCTAGAAAGGATTGCCCAGGACAGGGTTGGATGGAGAATGCTGGTGAGCGGCCTATGCTCCTTCACGAGGAGTAACAGGTGTCAGTAATATTTTCCTAAATCTTGACAGACTTAAAGTCCTTCAAATGTCTTAAACAATAACCATCCAGATGAAGAAACTAGAGCTGTGCATACAAAAGAAATATCATCAACCATATTTCCTCCCCTAGCCAACTTCAATATCAATTAGTCAGTAGTAATCCTAACCATTAAATGACTGAATTTGACCATTGTACTTTCTTAGTCAATTGCAATTGGCTGTGTTATCTTTATTCACAAATCTTTGTATTCTTCTTCTTCTTCTTATTATTATTATTATTATTAATATAAAGTACATCTTTATCATTGATTGTAGTGATATAATAATAATGATTATGAATATGAGACAAGAACAAGAACCCCCCCCCCTTTTTTTTATAAAGGCATCAATTTTAATTAAGTTCCCTTCTTCATGAGAGGTAACAGGTGTAACTAAGTAACTAAGTAATTAATTTTAATTAAATTGAATAATTGTTTCCGGGGATGGTGTTGGTGATGGTGGTGCTGGTAGTGGTGATGGTATTTTCTTCTACAAGGTCATCTATTTTAATGTTCATTTATAATTTATCTTAATTGAAAATGAATAGAACCATATAATAGATGTGGATCATTATGAGAATGGATCTATTTGGTATAGAAATAGTAAGATGAATTGAATAAGGTAACTTGTCGATCAAGATAAACAAACAATATAATGAACTTTTTTTTAGATTTATCAATGAATTGTAATCATAATTGATTGATCACTGAGTGGTGATCAATGTCATGTATGTCAAGTTCTAATCCGTCAGGGAGCACCAGTTGGATTAAGATTACAGGTACATCTTGCTGACGTGTGCTAAGTAGTACAGCAACTCATATGCAATTGAGTCTGTTCTCATTTAACTCAGTTAATCCCTTTTGTGAACTTATTTAGCGGACAAAGTCATCTGTACTATAACAACATATTGTACCTTGATTATTGTTGTGCTTGTATGAAATATATATACTTGAACATTGCTTACTGCCTACGCATTTATTCACTCTGCTAGCTTTATTATTAGTTGCTTAAATGATTCGATGATCCATTCATTTTCCTATATATATACGTGTACATTTAACACTACACTCTCGGTTCGCTGACTCACTCATTAGCCTCACTGCTTTGTGGTCGGAGTTATCCGCTAATATAAACTGTAGTCGCTGCTTCTCTTTGCCTTCTGATTTCAAACACTGTTGAAGATTATATGATAACGTTTACGAGAGTGATTGGTCAACGAAGCACAGCCACTACAGTAGCACAAAATCTCGGTCCAGGGTATCTTGTCGACTACCTCCAACCACCATCTAATCTCATAAATGAATTGTAGCTAAGCAACTATTGAAATTAGAAAAATATTAGAAACGTGATTTGTTCTTGAATCATACAACAATCTAATATTCATGATGAAATGTATATATTGAACTATGAATATTGAAGATTCAATTTGATAGAATTATTATCTAATAGTTCAGTATTCTAATAACAATTTTATAGAACTTTAAGAGCTCATCAACTTTCACGAGCTATAGATAAGTTAGTGAGATATGAGTAATCTGTTCTAAAGCGATGCTACTTCTTAGAAGGAATCACAGTCGCGTTACACACACTGTAGAACCCTGAATAATTGTAGATAACTTGGGTAGTCAGATTATTGTTTATTCTGCTAGAAACAGACTTAGCTTTTCTGTTAAGTTTTCTAGACGTTTCTAACTGTATGTCATTTGGAGGACGGGGTACACAAGAAACTATTTTTCTCAAGCTTTTATTTCTGACAAACCTCTTTAAAGACGGTCCTTCCTTCGTTGGCCCATTTCAGTCAATCGGCTCTGAGTTTATTTGAAGTAACTGCTCATCGATTTGTGTTGGGACCGAACGAGTATAATTTGATGTGTCTTGTTATCTCTCGCTAATACTCTTTTTAGCAGAGTTCACGATTGCAATGGCTACGGATAGCAAAGTGTTTGAGTTCAAGCAGCATTACTGACACAAACACACACAACTATTATTAGTAAACCCTTTGAAGGCCACTAGCGTTAGATTTTTGCAAATCTTATAGTACTATATTTCACACTTATCGCACTTCATGCCACTTTGCACAGAGTATCAACAGAGTGGGTGTTGACAATCACTTTTTCTGTACTGTCCAGTCATCAATCGAAAGTTTTCAAAAGTAAACTAGACATGAACAAGACCCATAGACAAAAGAAACTGGTGACCAGAATAAAGTGAAAAGCTTTAAATTGTTAGACCAGAATGTACAAACAAATAAAGAAAGAACCAATGTACTCAAATGTGCAGATGAAAGGAGTGAAAACAGTTGTCTTACTGTGTAATAAACGATCAAAACAACAAATTTACCTCAGTGAGGAAGAACACCTTTATCCTTTTTAAATAACACGCGGTAGCATTGATGATTACCGATTAGCAAGTAACCTCTGATCTGATCTCCATGCATTTAAACTAATTATTTTTGTATAATTTATATAGTACTTTAGTTTTATAAAATGAGGGGAAGTCAGAAAAATAACATTACCGAACTTCCTTTGTTTATTTGATTCCCTTTCGTTTGAAGACATGAGTAGCCATTACTATAACATTGATACATCGAATATTTCAGGTGATGTAATCTAGGCTAAACTGATAGTAAATATTAAAGAATGAATATTCATAACTCATAAATTGTGTTTAAAAACATTCTATGTAATCAGAGAGGGGTTTTGTGGAGATTTTAGTAATTTAATAGTTGAATTCATGGGTCAATTGACGATAGAACACCACAGAAAACCAGGAAGCACTGGGTGGCTGTTTCGTCCTATCGTGAGCCTCCTCAGTAGTGCGCATGCACGATCCCGCCTGGCGAAATTCGAACTCATAACCTCGCAAGCGAGCACTTAATCTCTAGACCATTGAACTGGTCGGCATCCAACGGTGTCAATGTCTGACTTCAACCATTCTACAAAACTTCACCAGCGTCCACCATTGTCATCAGTGAGGTAACGGCATTCAATGCTTCCAGGTTTTCCATGGTGGTCCAGTTTCAATTGACGCATGAATTCAACTATTAAATTCCTATAATATCCACAAAACCCCTTTTTCATTAAATACATCAAATGGTTAATAGTGACGATCTTCAAGAGGTATTTCCTCGAGTTCTAGTGCGAAGCCGCGACCATTGGAGTTCAACTGAGTCTGTTGTAAAATAGTAACTCACTGTAGACAATGGTGGACGGTGGTTCAACACCGTTGGATGCCGGTCGACCGACTCAGTGGTCAGGCGTTTGGACGTGAGACCAATAGATCCTGGATTCAAATCTCACGATATAGGATCGTGGATTTGCACTTCTGATGAATCCTGTACTAGGACGAAACACCCACTCAGTTCTTCCAGATTTTCCATGATGATATAACCAATTTCTTTTTTTCCATTTTTTTTTAAAAAAATACACCTTTTCTTCTTTTTATATAGATTCAAGAACTGGTAAACGTTTATCAAATGTTACTTATGATTGGAAATTCACTACACCTAATGATGAAATCATTCCAACTGTATATTATTTCAATTCAATTGAAAGTTATAAAAATCGATTAAAATTAGGTTTATTAAATACTCATATTCAATTACCGGAACATTTAAAATCAATTCAACGTATTGAAGGACGTTGTATTGTATTAGCTAAACAATATATTGATGATACTATTATACCTATGGATACTATGAATGATAAAGAGAAACAAATAAAGATTAATATATATGAATCAAGACCATTTGTTATTATTAATCCATTGGCAATAGATCCAAATGATTTATTAACTTCACCTGATTCATTTCCTAAAAGTAAGTATGATCATTAGTTTTGATTGAGATCATGAATCGATTGATGTTAGACCACCATTAAAAACCTAGAAGCACTGGACGGCTGTTCTGTTGAGAAGCCGTAACCAATGGAGCTAATCCGTGTCGGGTCGAAACAGGTGTCTACCTCAGTACAATGGAAGATGGTCACGCAATTTCGTGGATTTGTTGAGGTTAGACATGAACACTATTGGATGCCGGCTCAATGGTTCGATAAGACTGATTGTTTTACATAATATCTTTATTATGTGATATATACATATTGAAATGGATATCATGAATTGGTTGAAGTTAAATATTAAGACCGTTGAATACTGAATTAGTGGTCTAGAGGTTAAGTGTTCGTGAATGAGACCGATAGGTTTTGGGTTAGAATCCATTTGGTGGGCGATTGTGGATGAGCATTGTTGGAGGAGTCCCACAATAGGACGAAACGGTCATCCAGTGATTCTAGTTTTCTCATAGTGGTCTAGCTTCAATTGACTCAGGAAAACAACTGTTAATATATATCATAGAATATCTGAATTTTATATTAGGTTAATGGTAAAACGTTTGATTTGTTATTGTATATTATTGATGAGATGGCGTTTGACAGTGTGGATAGGAGAACATTATGGAACCTTCTTCAACACTATGGAGTGAGCAACTGAGATCTTCAACATAATCCAGAATTTATACGACAGGCTGCGCTGCAAAGTCGTGCATAAATTACAGCTGACAGATACACATAGATGAGCGGAATCAGACAACTCAACTTATTGTATCTCCTCTTTTCTTTTTCTTCTGGTGATTGACTGGATCATGAAGAAATCCACATCTGACGTTAAGCAAGGAATACAGTCGAAAGGTTGAATACAACTAGACGACTTGGACTTCGCAGGCTACCTAGCTCTTTCATCCCATACACATCAACAAATGCAGGTCAAGAAAAACAGTGTAACAGCGGCCTCTGCAGCCTTAGGCCTCTACATACACAAGGGGAAAATCAAAATCGTCTAATACAACACGGAGAACACCCATCCAATCACACTCGATGGAGAGGCTCTGGAAGATGTGAAATCTTTCACGTACCTGGGAAGCATCATCGGTGAATAAGGACGTTCGAATGCAGACATAAAGGTGAGGATTGTCAAAGCAATGGCCGCATTCCTACAACTGAACAAAATATGAAACTCAAAACAACTGCCTACAAGTCAATATCAATTGCAGAATCTTCAATACGAACATCAATATAGTTTAGTCTGCTGTATGGAGCTGAAATTTGGGGGAACAACTACAACCATCATCAAAAATGTGCAAGCATTTATAAATAGTTTTCTACACAAGATACTCAATGTCCGTTGGCAAGATACTATCAGCAACGAATTACTGTGTGAGAGAATAAACCAGCTTCCATCTGAAGAGAAAATTAGGAAAAGACGTTGGAAGTATGTTGAATCACCAGGGATCCCCTCACTTAGAATCCTGAAGGGCAATAGAAAGGTGGAAGGTCAAAGAACACAATACATCGTGAATTAAAGCCAGATATCGAAAGGATTAACATCAACTGGAAAGAACTGGAAATGATTGCCCAGGACATAGTTGGATGGAGAATGTTTTAGTGGAGTTGAAATAAAATGAATTGACTTCATCTGACAGTGTAATAAGTTTTGCTTATATTGTGAAGGTAACAACCTCAATTTCTCTTAGAGGATCTTTGAATATAAAAAGAAAAAAATCAATTTTATAAGGTACTTTATATTGTATTTTGTTTTCATTATTTCAGGTCATCGGTTATATGCTACTGTAGATGGAGTAAAAAATGGTGCAGTTGTTAGTCCAGTAGGATCAACAGTTACTTTAACTTGTCAAGTTTACGGTAAGTAGAATTTTCATATACATAGTTTCCTTTATCATTTTCAAAAGAGAAAGAACCAAAGATTCTAACAAAATGGCATGGATTAGTCTTATTTCATCTGGTACTTATCAGCTACTTACAACCTGTAATATTTCAAAATGACTTACATGAAAGGGTTCAGTTGGAAGTTATATAGAAGATACATTAGTATAGTATAGCAAGGGTGCGAATAAATTGACCAGACTGAATATTGTAAATATATTGAAGCGGTAAATAAATCCCCAAAATGAATATTTCCTCAAGTTTTCGACATTGGATGCTGATCACATTAGTTTTAGTGGACTCACTCAGCTGAAGGTGCTCGGTCATGCATCCGCACCAGATCACGTATGGGAAAGCCGTGATCAACAACCCTTGCGATCGCTAGCCAGATTAAATCAGAAGATCCTCGATATATTGATAGTCTATCGAATATATATTCGAAGCTCCTCGCTTCTGTTTTTTGATTTCACTTGGTGAGTACGATTCATAGTAGAAGGTGTTACTGGTTAAAGCGTTGTCAAACTTCGAATACCAGTGGCATCTTCAATATACATGATGCACAAGTACATTCTACAAGTTTGATTGTAATAAAAGATCAAAGGGACAGAATAGAAGTGATTACATAATGAATAAACGCTGCTAAGAACAAGATGAGTTGAGCTCAGTTAATAAAATAAGATTACTAATGTGAAAGAGTTAAAAAGAAGTTTACGATGCAACAAAGGAATATTTGTCACTAAGGCTATGAAAGATTAATAATCATCTCCTTTTGAACACATAAGCCACGTTTTTGACGCCTGATAGCAACGACTTTAGCAAATTTCGGAAGAGTGAAGTTTTGACTGATTACTAATCACTAAGTAAAGTTAATTATGTTTACCATAATCTTTTTTTTTTTACCTTATTTGATTTCTATTGACATATTACCATATTACTAACAAGATAGATTGTTTAAAGTAGGTGGATTAAGATTGGGTTAGTTACAAATTTAATTACATAATTTAACCATAAAAAATAGAAGATATCCATAAACACTGGAACATCTTTTAATTCAAACTCATTATCCTGTGTTGCCATGGCAACAATATCATCTCAGAAAGGGGTGTGTGTTACATTGTCATTATATTTTATTTGTTGTTTTTTTTTGGTTGCTTTTCTAGATTCTGTCAATCAAATACCAGTTGAAAATTTAAATTATAATTGGGAAATAAAACGTCGTGATGGTACACCAATTGATACATCTGTATTAGCTAGAGATTATATTAATGTGAAAGGTCCCGGTGGTAATACATTAATTATTGGTAATCTACGTTTATTGTCAGCTGGATTAATTGGAAGATGTATTGTAACTAATGATAGTTTAACAGATCCAACGATATCAGATATTGGTTTATTAGGACCAAATGAAAAGATTTATTCACCATCATTTGATTTTATTATAACTGATGAAACTTCATCAGGATCATCAGATGATGTTAGTTATGGAGGAAATAAAGATTATGAAATAGGTGAGTTTTGTTTATTTAGAAGTCAGTCAGTCAGTCAGTAACAACGTAGAACTTCGTACGTACGTACATCAGTTCGAGTTGCCACACCACATTAGCACAGAGATTCAGTTGTCGATTCAAATCTCGTAGTAGTAGAGGTAGTAAAAGTATAAGTAGTCAGTCAGTCAATCAGCTACAACGTAGGACCAGGCACACATGTGCATCGGTCCAGGTTGCCATACCTCATTAGCACAGCAAGATGAACACCGGATTCATAGGAGTGGTTAGGTCAAAGGTGGTAATATATAGGAGAAAGATTGCATATAAGGATATAGTATAGGAAGAAAGAACTAGTTCGTAGAAAGAAAGATATGAAGTGATTTTAATCTCTTAGCTTAAGGGAAGACAGGGAGTGTATACACCGACGCCATTGTGATTGATTCTGAGCCATGTCACAAAGAGTCTTCAACCATTGGTTACGAAAGTCACGCGGACCCCAACCAAATAGTCTGTATCTACCAACGTGGCTCAGACTAGAAGTCAGTGACTTAAAGGACTGATGCCACGTTTTGGTTTTGCCGCCCCTTACTTTCTTCCAACCATCTCCAACACCGGTTAGCATTGTGCGTCGTGGTAATCGGTGTTCAGGCATACGTAACACGTGGCCCAACCATCTCAGTCAATGAGGATTCACAACCTCATCAACTGATTTACCATCATTCCCTAGTACCCTGCATCTAACCTCACTATTACTTACCCGGTGATGCCAGCAGAAGTCAGCAATATTTCTAAGGCATCTGTGGTCAAATACTAGTAGCTTACGAGTGTCTTCTACTCTTAAAGGCCATGAGTATAAGTAGTATTGCGTTTGTTCTCAAGTAATTCTCTTCATTAGTAAAAAAATTAACTTAGTAGTTTGTAATATACGAGGTTGTTTCTTAAGTATCTAATATGAATAAAACTTACTACTGTAGTTAGTTTACAACCAGTTATCCTAAACATATAAATCGTTTTATAAGCAAAGATAGATAGTGATTAGTATTAGAATTCAGGACTCATGTTTCGTCCTATTTGGGACTCGTCAAATGGATGTATGTGAATTTCAGAGTTGATACTCACTCTCACTTCAAACACCATTTAGTTATCCACTTAGTTACTGAGTCCTGATAACCACTTGCTTGTGCAATGGGATGAAGTTTAAATTTACTTGATATTGTTTACTTGAATTTTCCTATTGATATTTAGGACTGCGATTGGTCAATCTCTCCAATGTACAAATATGTAAGTGGAGATGCATAAATACATATAGCTTCCAGTTGTTCCATACTCATAGGTGCGCGCTGTTGACGAGTCTCATACTGTGATGAAACGGCCTTCCAGTGCTTCTAGGTTTTCCATGATGGTCTAGCTTTGATTGACTCATGATTTAAACTATTGAAAATACTTAAAGTCCAAACTGTCAATCAATTGTCTCGATGCTGTGACTTTAAACCTGGAGAATTATCACGTGATTTATTCGTCAATCGGAATACGACTTATTCAATCTTGGTTTTGTGTCAAATCAATGATGTTTAATCGCTATGATCAGTCAAGCGTCCTTATTGGTCCTTTGTTCGGCTAACCCGTCTTGTTGAATCCTGAACACCAATAACAGCTTCTACTAAGAGAATCATTTATTTCAAACATACTTGGTTTATATACCAGTCTAACAGACCACATCACACTATAAAGTAGGGAATAACAATTGTACAAGATCAAGTCAAAATGTGGCTGTGAACGTGAGAGTCTGTAATTAGTAGACAGGAGAGAACTGAAGAACAGTAAATCGTATCATAATAATAATCTATAGGTCAAAATGAAGCTTATATTAAGAGGAATATAGATATGCACAAACTAGCTACTGAATAGTTATACAATAAGAATATATGTATAATATTAGCCCATCAATAGTTCTCAGAAGTTACTCGTAATTTAATCTTTGCTAAGTTATAATTCTCTAACTTGACAGTTACTTCTGTAAATATCAGTCAATCGTGTCAGACTTCATTATTCTTTCGTTTCCATACCAATCATACTTTGTTCTCATTCTCTTTTCTTCCCTGATCTTCTTAACCTTCTACCACTCAGGCATTTCACTTTCGATTCATGATACATACTACTTATATTATCTATCAATATTAGTAGCACACATCATAGTATTTGTGAATAAAAACCATATATCAGATGGGTTTCATGGATATTATAGTAATTTCAATGGTTAAGATCATGAGTCAATTGAAGCTAGACCATCATGGAAAACCTGGAAGCACTGGACGGCCGTTTCGTCCTATTGTGGGACTCCTCGGCATATATTCCTGTTGAAATAACATTGATATTGTTGTGCAATTAAAAAGAATTTGTTGTTGATCTCTAATTTGTATTTTCATTATGTAAACATTTTAGATGGAAAAGATTATGAAGTTGTTATTGAAGGTCTAGATGAAGATGGACGATTAAAAGTATCTAAAAATGATAATAAAACATTAACTGTATTCTTAAAACGTAAGTGAATGAATTGAATATATACATATATATTCATTCTATAGAGATCTTTTATGAGTAATAATGTTTTATTTAGTTGCATTGTAGAGATTTATTCAATACTATTATTATTACTTACTTACTTACTTACACCTGTTACTCGTCGTGGAGGAGCATAGGCCGCCTATCAACACTCTCCATCTAACCCTGTCCTGAGCAATCCTTTCTAGCTGTTTCCAGTTGTTATTCATTCTTTTCATATCTGCTTCTAGTTCTCGAAGTAGTGTGTTCATTGACCTTGCTATTTTCTGCTTCCCTTCAGGATTCTTAGTTCACACTTGATTCGTAATGCAATTTGGTGATTTTTGTAATGTATGTCTTATCCACTTCCAACATCTTTCCCTAACTTCCTATTCAGCTGGAAGCTAGTTTGTTCTCTCCTACAATAGGTTGTTGCTGATAGTATCCGGTCAACGGATATTGAGTGTTTTTCGGTATGTACACACAAACTATGAAACCACGATCAATGGAATTTAAAATCTTTGTTATATTAGTCTTTTTATTTAAGATGAATAGTAAGTAGTCAGCTTGTTTATTTTAATGACTTATCGCGTACTTTGTACTGAATAATCATTCCTAGAGTTCTGGATAAGATATCTTAACAAGTGTAACTCAAAAAGTTTAGATCTCAAGCAGTTACTTACCAATGACATAGGAAGATGGTTGTTACCGTTGGTAGGTAACTTAATGATCCAAAAGTTAGGCTCTAACCGACAATCCTAAATGTCCAGTACTCGATCCTCGATAGTGTTATGGATGCTCTCGACTGTGCGGACTCACAATTGTCTTTCAGTGATTGTCTAGATAATGTCAATTATGAGTATAAAGTACTAATCATAATCAAGTTAATGAAAAATAATCCATCAATATCTGATGATTACCCTTTTATTTTTGTAATTTACAACTATGATTAGATAAAGAAACAGGTGAACAAATCTATCCAAGTCCACCAAATACATGTGCTGGAGTTGAAACTCGATATTTAAATGGTTATCCTGTACCACTTTCATATCTCGCTGATACATATGAATTTCAATCAGATAATGGAAAATTTCATTTATATCATATGAAAGAGCCAAGTATTTCACCACAAGTACAAATGCGTTTTATTATTGAACAAAAGAAATTCGATGAAGATGGTAAACCAAAAGATGTAATTCGTTATGCATCACAATATATTGATTTACTTCCAAGAAAAGATGATCTACCTGAACAAGTTCCAAGTATGTTTTTGAAATGATGAAAGAAGCTGAGGTTGTTTATTGAAAGAATCATTTCAATGTTGTTAACTATCAATGATATTTGATGAGACTGGTTGTAATATATTTAGTTTATTTATCATAGTACATTACACTATAAGAGTTTCTCTTACTCACTTACTTACTTACTTACTTACTTACTTACTTACTTACTTACTTACTTACTTACTTACTTACTTACTTACTTACTTACTTACTTACTTACTTACTTACTTACTTACTTACTTACTTACTTACTTACTTACTTACTTACTTACTTACTTACTTACTTACTTACTTACTTACTTACTTACTTACTTACTTACTTACTTACTTACTTACTTACTTACTTACTTACTTACTTACTTACTTACTTACTTACTTACTTACTTACTTACTTACTTACTTACTTACTTACTTACTTACTTACTTACTTACTTACTTACTACTTACTTACTTACTTACTTACTTACTTACTTACTTACTTACTTACTTACT